GCCAGCGGGAGACCCCTCATGCCGCGTCGCGTTTACCGGTCTTCTGAAGGAACGCCGCCAGCGGGAGACCCATCATGCCACGCGCCGCGCTTAAATAAATTAAGTCGGTCGTTTAGGAAATCGCGTCCGCGTCGCGTTTATCGGTCTTCTGAGGAAACGCCGCCAGCGGGAGACCCATCATGCCACGCGCCGCGCTTACATATATATATATATATATATATATATATATATATATATATATATAAATTAATTAAGTCAGGGCATTTAGGAAGTCGCGGTGTTAGGGTCGCTCGTGGTGGTTTAGTCGGTAGGCTATGGGCGCGCGACGCCACGCTGAGGGAGGCTTAGGGGATTTCGGTCCTCTGAAGCGCCCCTCGTAACGGTGGTACGCGTGCGCGTAGAATCCGGCACTCTCCCTCCCTTCCTCAGGGCGGGGGAGTCTTTCGAAGATTTCCACCACGTTAAAAAAAAAAAAAAGAAAAAGGTAGAGAATAATTTTTAATTCCTTTTAGCAATTACATTTCTATTAAGCGAGAAAGGTCAAGAAACATTTCGACTATTTTGCAACAACGTCGTAAAATTAATGCAATATAGCCGAAATGGCTTCTTAATTATAACTTACATCACTATGGTTTTTACCCCTTATATATATATGGATCTTTGATCGCGTATAAAGCTGGGTCTAATCAACCAAATCTTCAAAAGTTATATATGAAATAGAGGTAGAAAAGACTGAGAAATATAATAAAATTAGAAATAGATCGATATCTTCAAATTTGCGGAAGTAGAGTAAACACGGACATCAAATCTGCACATACACATATATACGTACGGACATGCGATTTTAATGCAATAATACTTCGACATTTTAGAACACTCTGAACATATTAACTTCCGCAAATTTGGAGATATCTATCTATTTCTAATTTTATTATATTTTTCAGTCTTTTCTACCCCTATTTCATATATAATTCTTTTAAATTCGGTTGATTAGACTTAGCTTTATATGCGGTCAAAATTGTTCCTATATTATAGGAACTCTATGCAACATAGCAACACACGAAAAAGGCCGGGATGGCCTCTCTCAGGTTTCTCTCTGGTTTAGGTTGGTCTAGCGTAGGTATATGTCATCCGAATGAAAACAATTATCGACGTCTTTTATTGGCGTCATGAGAAACGTCAGAAAAATATTTTGCTTCGTCCATTGTCAATTAAGGTCTAGGTTAGTGAATGTAGTTCAAAGTTAGATAGATATCCCGAAATGTGAGATGAATACCGCAAAAGACGAGGATGATTTCTGGTACAGCAGCGAGACGCGGTCGTTCTGCTTCGAGAGCGAGGTTATGATTGCTACGAATTGTAAATAGCGAGTTCTACGGGCGGCAAATATCTGAGAATCAAATTACAGGTGGATCAATTAAGGAGCGACAAACTGTGGACAGGAATTCTCAATGCGTCGAGTTCCGAAAGTGGCCTTCAGTCTACCGCTGATTTTCAAACTACGAAACCACTGCTTTCAATTATATCTGACAGGACGCTTTCACGCAGTATGCCAAGAATATAAATATATATCTTGAGAATCTTCCGATATCCAATGATATAACTTTAAAATGTGAAATCTTTTCGAATATCTTGTAGTTTTAGACGCAGATAACAAACCGGAGAAAGCTCATCCAAAAGCAGAGATTAAACATCCAGAACTGGCTGTTGTCCAGCCAGATATCACCTTGAGACAGATATTGCTCGGTCAATCATATTCGTTAGAACGATACAAGTCTCTCGCTAGCAAAACTGCCCTATTAGACGCTGCTATCTTAAACGGAGATGGAAATGCTATTTTGATAGTACGAACTTACTTATATATAGATAAGATCCAATGTATTAGCTGTCAAGCTAATGAAAATTATGGATCTTGTTGACGTTTGATTAATATTGCAGATAATTTTATTTCTTACGAAAACTTTAAAACGATCATTAGTGCAAAGACTATTAACAGAGAGGCCAGATGCGGTAAACGTGTATATACATTATCTGTTTATAAGGCTACATTCAAGTGAAATAACTGATATTTTGACGTATGTGATTTTTGTATATAATTTGTATATAATTAATGATTTATTTTTTGTATCTCTTTCATGCTTGATATTTTTACAGGATGCTGGGCCATTCCTCAACTGCTGCTGTAAGTGTTACTGCGGATGTCACGCGATTTAAGTCGCAAATTTCATTTGCTATGGTTGATTACAGATGAAGAACCTGCATATTATTATAAAAAACACAAAAGATCCAAATAGGCTAATGCAAAAACTTCAAAATTGTTACAAGGCACTTTTTACCATGTTACCTGACTGCAAAGAAACTACGTTTCTGGAGTCTTATATTAAGTTGCTGGGTACGTTTATAATTTCCCTTGTGCCACTGTAAAAAAAAAAATATATTTATTTATATCGTAAATCGTTAGAATGGCAAATGGCGATCAAACAGAAAAAGAACGATGAGGAACTCCCATTGAATTCCTCTGTCCTGGAGTCTCTGCGTTATGCGTGCAAACATCATTGCAATACGCCGAAAGATTTTGTCACGATGTCACCTACAGTGCTCTCTCGAGACCATGACATTTCTCCTAGACTGTATCAGAAAGTCGCTTTACAAGTTAAAGCCGCCTGCGGTGGGTGGGACGATATCGATCGTTTACTCTTAACAAAGGTAGCGTGTTTTATTTTGTAAGGATTAATCCTATCCCAGCAGGATTATGTTGTATCAATCATGTTTTAGGGATTACTTGGTAACACAAAATTACAAACGCAGTTGTATACAGAGGATATTTTGAAAGTATTGTATAAATACAACGCGCCACATGCCGTTCTCGAAAAGTATCTGAAGTTCATCGACAATCTAGAGAAGCGATTGGAATTGGCAAAAAAACTATCTTGCCATACAATAGTAATTGATGTATGTAGATATTTTTTTATTAAAAATTGTTATTAAGGAAATAATCATATAGCATAGAGTTATGCATTTACACATTTCTAGATATTTGTGCAACAAGGGGATCGTGCAATACTGATGGATTACAAAGCGAAATTACAGCCTCAATCGGAAGGATATTTTTATGCCGAGAGCGCTTTGCGTTTACCACATATTAAGTGGAAGAGTTAAGCTTATTGCATTTATAAAAAATTGTAAAATTTACATTTGTAAAGAATTATATATATTCGAATTGCATTAAATATATTGTTCTATTTTTAATTGTAAAATATATTAAATATAAAAGAGTTTCGCACAGAACTTCTTAAAATTTGCATATTTTATAAAATACTGTTTTTTTTTTTTTTTTCTTAGAAAATTAATATTGGAAATGCCTCTTTTTTAGAACGCAATCGTTGCAAAAAATGAGCACTTGTAAATTTAGGGTCATAACATGGGGGAAAAAACATAAACGATAAGATTTTTAAAGCCGCGAGTTATTTTAAAATGGTAGCACTCACATGATGTAAGAAGACAGGTGTAGCAAGTCCAAGGATGCGCAGTAGTCATTTTCTTTGATCAATCAGAAACTGGTCCGAGATGCGAGAAGGCACAATACGTTCTTACACTTTCTTTTGTATTATAAATTAGACATCACTATAACTTTAGAACGGTATTCACGGTATATACAAGTCCAATCTTAAATGTTAAATTATAGAAAGGTTCACCTAAAGACGCTGCAAGGGCTGTTTTATCACTATAGCACCTTATGATAAACTCAAGACGATTTTAAATATATACGATAGTGTCAGGAAAATTGTTCTTACAGTTTGCAATACAAGTTAAATCATTTCTGTATACTTCCTCATTAATAATGTTTTTCAATTCCTCATTCGCCGTATTCAATCTTCCTTTACTACTTATTAATCAATGTAGAAATTGTTCTTTTATTATCAATTTATTATGTATTACATATTTTTATTAATTTATGAGTTTTCGTATTATATTTACAAATTTTTTAATTTTGTTTGCATCACGGACCTTGACTAATGCTACATTTGAATGTGGCGCAATGTTCCAGACCAAAATTTGATTGGCTGTCGTATTCTTCGGCCGCCATTATGCGCAATGAGACTATACTCGACTGTGATTGGCCGATTCGCTTGCTGCTCAAGCTTGTATGAAGCGCGATAGTTCTTTTCCGATGTAGTTTGGAACGCGATCGATATCAAGTGTAAACATTTCTTCTGGTTATTCATTCCCCTCTACATGCCGTCCAGATAGTGGCTGTATCCTTTGGCGGATTAAATTTGTCAATCCGGTCAATCCTCCGTCGGACGGTTTGGAGCGAATTTTTGTTTGTTTCTGTCATGGCTGACGCGCTCGATGCGAGCGTATTTACAGCCGGATCGTGTCAGTGTGCAGTGGTCAGCGGTGATACGCGGTAGTGCGTCGTCGTCACATAGGTATGTGTCGTCGTCCCACGACTCCCACGTCGAGGGCTGGTGAGCAGTAAAGCTGCGTGTGCCTAGCAGTGCCTAGCAGCGCGAGACATGGGTGGCGATAATAATGGGCAGACGAGCGGGTGCCGATGCGGAGATAGACGCTTCTACTAGCGAGCTCGAGGTGCTCGTCGCGTCGGAGGGGCAGGAGGACGAGGAGGAAGGAGAAGAGAATATATGCGACGGGAGGTTCGCGACGACGAGGATGGAGTCGCGGCACCCGCGCAGGAACCGTCTGCGTAGCGTCGTCGGGGTATGCCTGTTCCTCGCGCTGACCGGGATCGTCTACCTAGGCTACTTCTGTCCGGATCACGTGTGCGCCCTGACAAACCGCGAGATCAAGGAGTCTATCAGGCTGTCCGAGAGCTTGTCCGTCGCCGCCGGGCCACCCGCCGTCGGCTCCGCCGCGCTGTCTTCCGTGTCCATCGAGCTCGACAGGAACGGCCTGCTCTCGGTGCATCCCGCCTTCAAGCTGCAGAGCATCCAGGGTAGTCTGGGCTACGACGATGTCTTTGCCAACGACACTTTTCAGTTTGATATCAACGCTCACGACGTCATGGTCTTCCTCCACATACAAAAGACAGGCAAGTACACGAAGAGAGTGTTTCTCGCCTTGTGTTTATTGTCTGCAGGCATAAGAAACAGAAAATCTTCCTCTTTCTAATTGTTATTGTTAGGCCTATTTTTATTTTAGCTCAACTTCTTGTACAGTTCATATTTCCTTTTTTTCTTTTCACGTTGAAGAAAAAAGAGAAAAGATAAACTGTACGTATGAAGTTCAGCTATAACACAAACAGGCCTATTATTTCTTGGAGTTTTGGAAAATTTAGTAACACCAATTATATATAACTGTCTCATTGAAATTGTAACACGTGCAAAATTTTAATTTTTATTAGAAGAGAAAAAATATTTCTCGTTTAGTAAAAGATTTTTCTATTTTATAACTTACTTTTTATTTCATACTTTATTTGCTTGTGAATTATAATAAGATCTGTTAGAAATTATTTAGGAATTATTTCTTATTTAGATTACAGTAAGATTTATATTTTCAATTGTATTAGCCTTTTTTACAAAATGTTTATAACATGCAGTATATTGTTCAGAACCAAAAATATACATATTGCTATTGCTTAAACATTACATAATATTTTAGCATAAAAATTGATATAAAATAAATATAAAATCTGCAAGAATAGAAACGTTCAATTATCTCTTTTTGTACAATTTCTTTATATGTATATACTTAAGTAGAAATAAAGCGATAAAGCAATGTCACTTCCCCTTGGCCATTGTATATTTGAATTATTCATCAGGCATGTTCAAACCCCCAGGCCCTATCTTAGAAAGAAAGAATAATTCAAGCACGCAGAGGTATTTGGTATGCTGCATACTCATATCCTCTGCACCTTTGTTCTCTTTGTATTCAAAAAATTTCCTTTATTAAAATGCATCTTATCGCAGTTTATGTTTGCTATAGGTTTTATTTTTACAAAGTCAATAAAAAATTACACGACATTACTATATATAATAAAAATTGTTGATTGACAAATATTTTCAATTCCAATCTGAATGTATTAACGTACATAAACATATCTTCTATTAATTTATATATTAGAATTCATTTTAATAAAATAAAAAATACCTGTTGCAATATATCTAACGTAATCCTTATTTTGTTTAAAGGTGGCACGCTATTTGGTAAACATCTGGTGCGAGATCTAGAGTTGCAGAGACCGTGTTCATGTCAACGACGACGCAAGCGTTGCTTCTGTTTCCGTCCAAATCGTAACGAAAATTGGTTATTCTCGCGATATTCCACCGGCTGGAAGTGTGGACTACACGCGGACTGGACCGAATTGACGAATTGTGTAGATACGGAGCTCAATAAAATCGAAGGGGAAGGCATTAAACGCCGTTACTTCTATGTAACTATCATAAGAGATCCCGTTGCGAGGTATCTCTCCGAGTTCAGGCATGTGCAGAGAGGTGCTACATGGAGAGGTGCTCGTCACTGGTGTGGAGGTACTCAAGCAAATATACCCCAGTGTTACGATGGCCCGAATTGGAAAGGCGTTAGCTTGGAAGAGGTAATAATTTCTCTCGCGTTATATTCATTTTGACCTGATATTGACTTTTCTTATTAATGTGAATTATAACAGCTTATCAATATAATACTACGTTTACGCGAGCGTTACTTCTTTAGTAACTTACGGTAATTCACTCGTTTACGCGGAGTAAATTATCGTAAGTTACTACAGAAGTAACGCGTAAACGTAGTATAAGTCATTTTATATCTACAACGACATTAAGATAAAAATTGGGTCTAATCATAAAAGCACTCGTGTTTATTTCACACGGCTACTTCCTGTTAGATAACTTTGCCGTGCCCTCTTCTATAATAAACGCATTGTGACTTGTTATCAACATGAGGAAAGAAAACAGATTAATTTGAATAGATAAAAGATGAAGAATAGAACTATTGATACAGTTTAGGAAACTAATAAATGAGATTGCTATATCTGTGCAGTTTATGGAATGTCCTTACAATTTGGCGAGAAACCGTCAAACTAGAATGCTGGCAGATCTATCGATAGTTGGCTGTTATAACTCCACTCTCAGCAAAACTGATCGAGACCGTTTAATGTTGGCCAGTGCTAAACACAACTTACAATTCATGCCTTTCTTCATGCTGACTGAATACCAAAAGGTATGCGACAAATTTAAATAATATACACGCAATTAATTTTTATTATTATCGTCATTATTACCGTTACTAGAAATTTATCGCGCCTATTATAATTTTTTGCTACATTCGTACAGTGTTCGTCATGAAAAAACATCTTTTTATCGATTGCGCAAAATTATTACAGTGTAAAATATGAGATATATAGCTGCTCCTACGCAGAATAATATAGAAAGCAGTTTAGCAACTACAAATTTAGCAGACTGATAAATATTGATCTCTTTACAAATATTGTAAGCTATATAAAGTTGTTATTCTTATACGTCACGTTCGCAGCTTGACTGCTTAAGAATAGACGTTTTAACGTAAATATTTATGAGAGTTCCCCTTCCAATAACATCTGGGAGCAATAAGCTTATTCCATAAACTATGGGCCATTGCTGTCCTTAAAATCTTGCTTTTTATCATGACTGTTCTATGTTAAATACATTCAACAAATGTTAAGAAAAGTTTGCTTCTTTATAATTAATTCTATATTATATTTTATATAATATCATATTATGCTTAAAAAGTAACATTTTTAAATAAAGTGACGCTGTTTGCTTCAGGAGCATCTTTTTTTATTTGGATAATGTATTTTTTTTTATATACGTCATGTAAGTTTTTTTGTAGTATCACGTATCTATCATAGATATCTTTTTTTGATTTTATGACTTGTTATTATCGGCAAGTTGAAGTTGATAGCCTTGATCTCTTGTTCATAGACTTAATAACGAGAAACATTCACTTGCATAATAATACAGTAATTTATGTCAGAATATTCAAGTCACTATTATTAACGATACTATTACAGGTTTTTAAATCAATACTTGTATTAAAAGAATTTATATAATGTATAATATAAAATAAATTTTATTTATTATATTTAAAATTATATTTAATAAAATATTTATAAATATAAAAAAATAAACTAGTGATAGTTATAGAATTATGAAAATATCACAAAATTGATAATTAATTATATCTCTCATATTTTATTTCATATGTATATTAATGATAAACTTAATTCACATGTCAGGTGGGGCAGTACACTTTCGAGGAAACATTTAAAATGCGATTTGCGGTTGCGTTTGAGCAGCATAATGCTACACTTAGTGGAGCTACCATGGCAACCCTCAGCGCAGAACAATTGGATGCTGTACGTAAACTCAACAGCCTGGACCTAGAACTCTACGAATTCGCAAAGAATCTCGCTTTTCAAAGATTTAAACGGCTTAGAGATCGTGATCCACATTTTGTACAACGATTCCAACACCTTGGTGAATTGCCATCAAGGCAAAGTGCCACAGAATTTAATTGGGATTCTGTTATTGAAGATACTACGGATAACGAATAATGTGTGAGTACATTATTAAGCAATCCTCTCGACGCTTTGCATTCGATACCAAGCATTACTGTGGATCTGAGCGTCTTAGGGAAGTGCCCTTGAAACAGAATACACTTTATGTATAAATCACCATTTATCTCCGTAAAATTTACCAAAAGCACAGAAATGTACTTGGATAAGACCAAAGAGAAGTTCAAGAACCTTAATGTGATGAACCTGACAGTATCCTGACAACAGTTAAATGCATAAAAATTATTGTGTAATAATTGATTTCCTCTATTCTAAGATCATTGGGACCGAGCATTCTCTCTGTTCAGTGATTTCCTCTCAATATCCACTTTTATTTTAATGACAGATACACTGAATGAGACTCGTTGCGTACTCGGTCTTTTGTTCGCTTTCTAATTCGGTCGTTTAGTCACATGAAAAATGTGGATATTAAGACAGCAGTACAAGAGAAGAATTCTAGTTCACAGGACAATAGGACAATTTGACTTGGAATAGAAGAAAATCTCGAATAAAGAAAGTCAATCTTAATAGTCGCAAAAATTGTCTATCATGAAATACTCGTAAATTTTATAAAGGTTCTTCCATATATAAGTAACATATCTTTGCTTATAATTATACAGATAGTCGTGAAGTTGCTAATTATTTACATTTATGACTTATCTGCAAATTATTGCCATATGCGCCAAATGTTTTTTCCTACATTAATTTGTACATACATCTTTATGCCGGTTTATTAATTTATATATTTTTTTGTATGAGCTCTATACAGATATTTGTTTTTATTCCATCTGTTTCAATTCATATAAACAGTGTTATAACACGCTGTTATATAATATAATGTTGATACAATTAAACTCATATGTATTACATAATTACAATTTAACTCTCACTATATTATATACAAGGGGTAATTTTTTTACGGTCAAAAAAATAAGAAAAATAATATATTTTAGCGAAAATGAGAATGTCATTAATTTTTGTCGTTTTATATTTTTATTTATAAATTGTATCTTTTATCATTACTTATAAAATCTTGTTTCTGAATTCCTAAAAATATTTTTAATGCAAAATTTCTATTCCATCTCTAATAGAAACTCGGATACATTTTTTGTATATAAATTAATCTAAATCGAAGATAATAAGTAAAATTTACTCTTAAACATGACATATAATATTATTAGGCTCAAATAAAAAACAAGACTTCTCATTTTGTAAAAAAAAAAAAAAAATTACAGGAAGATCACAGCTTGGAACATAATGTTAAATAATTGGGATATTAATAATTTTTTTTATATTTGTTATATTGAATTTACGATGTATTGATCTAGATACAAACATATACAACAAACACTGCTAATTATTGCACAAATATTCTATCTATATTACTAAAGCAATCATGTTTTGGTTAAAAGATAAAGAGGACGTGCGAGATCGCAATTTATGATTTATACATTATCATCTAAAAATAATCAAGTAACAGGGGCAATAACAATTTTCCAATGTTTGATATATTTTAGGCATATACGATTTTTTATATCATTGGCACGTTTTTGTAACTAAAGATACGTAGCTATCAAATTATACTTTTGTAAATATATCTGAAAGTATATATTTTTTAATCAAATTATTTGCAACATAATTGAAACAAGTTCACATTAGCTTTATGGAAAAGTTTTGTATTGTTCAAGTGATGAAATATGCTAACTATGGTAAACCATATGTTAATCGTATACGTATGTTTCCGATGGAAATATCTGAAAATGGAAAAAAGAATATATCCATTTTCGATCGTTGCTTTGCACATTGCTCGAGAGTGAGCGTTAACGGCCCTATATTCAGTTAATTTGTATAATGTAGAATTGTAGAATGCTACACTGTTCATTAATTATAATATTACTTTGCTCTAAAAAGTGTTCAACATTCAGATGATTACATCATATATTATATATATCGGAGAAGTTCTTACATATATTTCATAAAATTATTTAAATCGTTTTATCGCAGGCCTACATAGTTTAATTAAACGACAGTATAATGCATTAGATGATCATTATTTATATATTAAAATTAGTCATGCTACTTTAACATGATTAAGTACTGAAACTCTATATGCAATGAAAGTGCAATAAGGCGACTGCGATGGGTTACCATTATAAATATTTCATATCATCCAGTCATAAAATAAATATAATACAGCTGTTAGAGTTATGTAGCTAATAATTAGTTAATAATAGATCACAAAGGCTCTCTTGAGGAGATGTAATGACGGTCTTTCGAATGAATACAATACATATGTATCTAGTAAGTTATCTAGGAAACTGAGTGCCATAAAAATCCTCTATTTAAAAGAAATTAACCGCTAAAAATAAATAGTTATGTTACATTCAATATAAGAATAGAGACTTCAATATTATGGCAAATAATATATTATAATTTAAAAATTACATTGTTTCAATCGAATGACCTCTATATATATATAGCATAAGTACATAATGTTAAGCGTGTGACATTATTGATATTAATAATTGTTTAGAACTAATATTAAGGACCAAAGATTTGATATGTTTCAGCAAGTATTGAGAAAGCTTGCAGCACAAACAATTGTAAGAAACTTTTTATATGTATACATCGTTAGATAAAAAAAAAGCTCATTATATCAACGATAAGCGCCAATAGTTATTTTAACGTTTGTCCATTTAGTTATCATTTTCATATCATAATTGAGGGCGTTTATCTGACTGTGATCGATTCTTAATATCAGATAAAGGAAACGATCTATTGAAAATACCTATTTGATTATATAGCGTGCGGCTCATTTTAGAATGCAGAATTTTGCGTTTTAAAATTTTGTAAGTTGGACGTATATGCATGATCTCAGTACACATGTATTTGAAAAAATCTATTTATTTGTGTACACAACAATTGAATCGTTCAAACGTTTGTACGACTGATGATGTGTAAAAAGAGACGCAAGTTTTCGATATGTTAGGAAGGTTGAAACATTAGCTTTAATGTTTAATACAATACTTGTAGCGAGAGAAAGGAACTATGAAAAGAGATAGCTAACGAGATGCCATGACACTAGCCTAATAAAGCGAACAATAGGCCTAAAGCCGTCGGTACCTTATTTAAGCCAGTGTATATACCATACCATTAGTCACTTAAGATTCAATAAATCATTATGTATACAATCATTATGCATACATATACAAACATATACATATATATATTATATATTACACAAATTGTACACACATATTTATGATTACATCTATTATTATACAATTATACAAACAAAGGTATGTATAGTTATTGTAAGATAGACATCGGATTGGAATAGAACTAAATCCAACTCATTCGAACGATTAACGTTGTAAACCTTTTAATTTTAATAAATCTAAAGAATTCTCTTTCAGTTAGTTATGTAAAATCTACTTATTTTACGAATCTTCGTTCTGTAGAGAATAGATCGAAAAATAGATTCTCACATCATTAGGTGTCGTTTATTCCACGCTTTTCGATTAAATATATTATCATAACTGTAACTGTTGTGACAAACGTTTATGACACTGCTTTTTAATACTATACTGTCATAGCTCCCTGTTTGTATCATTAATTCTTAACTTAACGTTTAACTTGGCTCAATGTTTAACGAAACTCGAAGTGGACGAGGAATGTCAATTTTGACAATACAATGAGCATTTTGCTTTTGTTCATATCACTTTGCTAGAGCAACGATTGTTCCAGCATTATTTTCTCGAAACCCGCTGGCGGTGTATGGATAAAGTTTTCTGGAATTAAGTCCAGGATGGCTCCATCATCCACTGAAAGTTAAAACAATACAGATTATACGTAAAAGTCGATTGTCACACATGACACGTTACTTATTATTCACTAGAACAATAAACACCGTATAACACTGGATAAATCAGTCCCTTTACACCTAAAAAAATTCGAGCATTCATAGATTCTCCGTTCAAATAAAAATTCAACTCTATATGATCGTAGGATACTCCCTGAAAAGATTTTAGATTATTCAAACAAGATCGCAATAAAAATCTTAAAAACAAAAAAAAACAGCATATACATACAATGACATCCCCTTCCTGTATAGGATTTTGAAAGATTAACTTGTGACGTTCTTGTTCGTTGTGCCTTATGATACCATCGGAATTGAATGCCCAGCTTTCCGAGTCCTTTCCTCCTACTGCGACATTGAGATCTGTGTCTCTCTTGGCTAGTCCAATGCCCCATATACCGCCCTGCTGTATCTTCACTTCAAAATAACTTTTACTTTGAACAAGAGGGGCGTTTGCCAAGGCACCACCGCTTCCACATATTCTTAGACCATTTTTCACTATCACTACCTCACTTCCTGCATAAAACAGTGCCGGAATTGCAAATTACATTTTTCTGTCAAAACATCTTTGTACAAATTGAATAAATTATGTAAAAAATATTTCAGATTCACAAGTAGATTTAGAGACAAGTGTCTAAAAGACATGCTATGTTATCAGACGTCATATAGACAACTTCTGGAGCGTTTGTCGTCATAGAATGTTACTGTTGTAATGTATCAACTTCTATCTTTAACATAAAATCTAACATGTATTCAGAAACCGATTGTTGAACATCGGAATATAAATATAGTGGCTTTATAGAAACAGCAAAACCTTTAATTGCAGAAATTAATTGAAAGACTTTACAGAGATTATTTCGAAAAGGACAAATCTCGATGCTTAATTGCTTATCGCGCACGGTGACACTGGTGACAGTTACCCATGTGAGTCGTGTCTAAAGCGATGGGGTGTCGTTCCCGTTTCGGTGTTTGAGTTGCGGCAAAGCCAAGGCCGTCGAAGCAGTTTCTCAGACAGCAGAACATTGTTCGCGATCGTCGGGGTTTCACGTTTGCTGACGTTTAAGAGATAAATACAGATTCGTTTAGAAACGTAGCGAATACAACATCGTGAGCCGTGAGAGAACTGGAGAAACTTTTCTTCCTTCCCTCCTCCTATTTCCTTTTACCACCCTATTCCTTTTTGGGACGATACAATTTTTCTGTTATACGCCGAGATGCACGAAATCCATCTGTAAACAGTCAAGTACCACGACTGACGCAAATCCGAGACTCTATTCAAACCTACGCATAGGCCGCATGAAAATGGCTTCCTCTCCGAGAGATCATAATCAGCGTGAATGATCTCGGCGGGCTTTTGTCGCGTGATTTTTCATTGTTCTGCAACCCTTCTTTGCTTTTTTGCAGCGAAAATGCTTTTTTCAAGACGTCCCGAAGCTCCTCGGCTTGAGGCAATTCGCGTTTTGAGGTTAGATCAGATTTGGTCAGGTTAGGTTAGGTTCCGTAACATAAATGGCGATAAACTAATTAAGATAATGCGCACGCACACACATTTAACGAGCGATTATGAAAAACAAAAAACTAACAAATTTCACTAAACTATTCAATTTTACCTCTTATTCATTTAAAAAGTTTGAACCAAAATAGCATAGTTCTCATAAGAAAAATATTTAGTGAAGTTTGTTCAGTCCTAATTTAGCAGTTTGATCCACATTTCACAGATCCAACACCAATGTTAAGATAAACGGGATAATTTTTCAATTAACGATATATTTTATATCCATAAAACAGTTAGATTTTAGTACCAAAATGGTAGATTTATTTGTTTATATTATACAAGACAAGTTTATATCCGACTGGGATACAGCATCTGTAACATAAAACAATCTGAATGAAACTCTGTGTATTCACATATGTATGATTAAAATTTCTTATAATGTATATGTATATTTACAGAACAGAACGCATAGAAAATTGTATAGTCAAGCTTGACAGGTAGTTCGTAATTGAGCGTAAATTCAATGAAACAAATATCTACATAAAATCGCAACGTAAATTTCTTACAATTCTGATGCGATGGCCCATAGCCTTGGCTGGTAGATTCCTCTTAAACTTAGCACGCACCGACCCACTCGCACCATGGGGACGAGTGACTTTGCCCCAGATGGCCCTAACTTTTGTTTTCTTCGTAGTCTTTCCAGGTACTGGCGTCTTGTTCTTAGCCTAGAATAATTTCATATAAGCGAGTTACTTATCAATTATGAATGATCTCAGCAAATAACTGTATATTTAAATCAATGATAAGCTGATAGTCCTATTGTAAATTTCATAAAGGTATCAGAATAAAACAAAGAAGTTTTGGCGATACAATTCCATAGTTCTTTTACATGTTTGTCAGCTAAATAAACTCGATTTGTTTTTCCTTCTTAGGCAATCTGTACCAAACAAGCCTTACTTTATATACATAGACGCATCGCTTTCCTACGTAGAAATCTGAGTCCTTCTTTGTGCCAGCTCCTTCGATTTTAAGCAGAGCAGTATGCTCGTGTTGATTGCGCAATCCACGTTTGTAACCGGTGAAAATTGCCTTCGCGTACAGACGCCCGTGTCTCTTGAAGGGCCTCTTTCTCAGCGGCGTTTCCTCCGGAGCGCCTTCTTTCGTCTTGGGCGCTTTCGCTTTGCTCGTCATTTTCTAATAACACAACGGCACAATGAAAGCATCAACGACGCATGAAGCATTCAAAAAAGGGGATGAAATAGGAAGAGAATGAGAAAAATAACTGTTCGCGGTTCACACATATGACGTCAAGTCACTTAACGAAGCACTTTGAGGTTATGTACGGCAGAAATAGTTAGACAAACATCAATAGTTGAAAAATTTGCGAAATTTCGCTACACGTGTACAACTAGGTATTCTTCTTTTAACGCAATGAATAAAGAACGTGTATATACGATTTACTGTATCGTGCACATGTTTCATTGTCACGTAGCGAACGCTAAACGCCACATGAGAGACGAGGCGGATTGCGAGAATCCGCTGAAATCGTTGATAATTAAGTAAAATATAACGAAGCGAATAGTCGTAAAGTAGCTTGACACAACATTATACAACGTGCTCTTGTTATTTATGCGAAAATTCAATTACATTTATTAAGTTTTTATTATTAAATATGGGAATTCGTCACCGCAAAACGTACCGGACACCACCATGAACTAAGAGAAACAGAAGACGTCAGTGCGTCCCTGCGTCCCTCTGTTGCGGGTTGCGGGCAAAACATGCAGGGCTGCGTTCGGAACGCAGCCCTGCGCCCCTGCTGAACGCGTCCATTGGGTCTGTTCGCGTTGCTTGCACTTTTTGCACTCAGCATTTTCGCTTTCTCTCTCTCCAACAGCCGAATATATATTTATCTCATTTCAAGTGCAAAAATGTTTGGGGATTTCAAGCAACGCGAACAAGCCTATTATTTCTTCTGGGCTGCGTTCAGAAACGTCACCCGGGTATACTCCCTTCTCCTTCTAACTCGCTGAGACTGGGACACTGAGAATTGAGAATTGATAATTGAGGATAATTGAATCAATTCCCAATTCCCAATTTTCAATTCCCAATTCTCAATTCCCAATTCTCAATTCCCAATTCCCAATTCTCAATTCCCAATTCCCAATTCCCAATTCCCAATTCCCAATTCCCAATTCCCAATTTAGACCCAGCATTATCGGTCGAACGCCGGACGCGGTGTGAATCCTCCATTATCGGTAGATGATGGGATAAGCGGTGAGCACACACTTCTGCACAACGCATAATGCGTAAGCATAAGATAATTGATTGGTCCATACACATGTGCATAAGGAAATAGACCAATCACTTTTCTTATGCTTAGGGTTGGTTTATAATAGCCGTAACCGTTGATTTAAGCCGTAATCTTCAAGAAATTGACCAATCACAGTCGAATGTGAGAAGAATAATCGACTGTGACTGGTCAATTTCTTAAAAATTACGGCTTAAATCAACGGTTACAGTTATTATAAACCAACCCTTACGCATTATGCGTTGTGCAATGTGCAGAAGTGTGTGCTCCCCGCTATAGACTTCAGCGTTTCCGGAATCCGGAATCTCGCATGGGGGATGGATAGGATAGCCGATAGCGCATCTCTTGCGGAACGCATGAACGATGATATAACCAATTTGTCTGAACCGGCTTTCAGAAAATTTTGAACGTTCATCCATGCACGATCGGTTAGCGAGTGCGGGGGTTATAAGACCCGTGCATACATACATATGTACATACGCTCGTTTACGTCGCGACGTTACTTGTATACATACGCGTTTGCGAGGATCGGCGTCGCACCCGTAACGTATCGATCTTCGAGATAACGGCGACCGACCGCGTGTAATACAAAACTCTACATAATTTGGTGACGACAGTTTGAGAGTCAAGACGAGAGGCCGTGATTAGCAGCCGTTTGCACTTCGCATATTTCCAAACGTCACGAATGTGGCGATGTAGCGACGAGTGTATCACGAAAATAGTTAATATCCATTTTACCTTCGTCATCTACGCGTCACTTGCTCATTTCATTCTGTTCTGTTTCCACTCGTTTATGCGGATGATGTAATATCCCACACGCGGACACATGGAGATGTCAGATGTTGTGTCAGCATGTGAAAAATAGGCGCATAAGCGAGACGGTTAATAACAGAATAGCGATCGCTCTGTAATTTTAAAGGAAACACTTTACGGATACGTAAATTGCCGGCACGTGAACATCTGACTTCCAAGGATCACTACTCGTCTCGCAGATGCTGGCCGGTAAGCCAGCTCTTATTTTATACAATGACCGCTAGTGACGTACAAGGCTCCTTGAAGGAAGCTCTGTATGAGACGTTAACTGGGATTTTGTCGCCGCATTACGAAACCCGTAAGGACGCGGAGCAGAGAATTCAAGCTCTAGAAGTCACGGAGGAGTTTGGTATACACCTAACGGAATTTGTCGTCGATCCCAACGGTCATTTGCCGATCAGGCAGTTAGCTTCCGTTTTGTTGAAGCAGTATGTCGAAACGCACTGGTGTTCGTTGGCTGAGAAGTTCCGTCCGCCGGAGCTTAACAATGCCGTTAAAGAGAGGATCAAGGAGTTACTTCCCTTGGGACTCCGAGAACCTATCAGCAAGGTACGTTCGTTGACGACGTCATTAATTTAACGGTATCGTGTAATCTAATCTGTATTGTTGCGTGCCAACGCAAAATATTTTACATATGAAAGATGTTGTCTACCTCAGGTACGAACCGCAGTGGCCTATGCAATATCCGGTATAGCACATTGGGATTGGCCTGAGAATTGGCCTGGACTGTTCGATGTTCTCGTCAGCTGTTTAAGGGAAGAGAGCGAGTGCGCGGTTCACGGAGCGATGAGAGTGCTAACAGAATTTAGCCGGGATCTGACGGATGCTCAGTTGCCTAATGTAGGACCTGTTATTCTTCAAGAGATGTACAGGATATTCCAAAGTGAAAATGTAAATTTAATTGAGGATCAAGATGTCTCCTACATATTTCCATACGATGCATTTTCTTGCCACGTTTCTAGTTTTGTGTTTCTTGCAGCAGTATTCGATTAGAACGCGCGGTCGTGCAATCGAGATTTTCATAACGATTACAACTTTGGTCGCTCATACGGGAGCGTACGAGAAGGGATTTATAGAGCAGTATCTACAGCCAATCATTCCTATGTTCTGTGAGAAGTTTGTCGAGTGCCTCAGAGTGCCTAATGGCCAAACTAGTGACTGTGGATTCAAAACAGATATTATTAAAGCTATAAACTGTCTTGTTACGAAATTGCCGAAATATATATCAGATCTTTTACCTCAAATGCTGCCACCCATATGGGAAACTTTGTGTCAAAGTGCAAAGACTTATCAAGAGATGACAGTCAACGCTGATGAAGATATCGACGATAAGGAAATTGATTCTGATGGTATGTTATTTGCGCATAATAAGAGTACGAAATATTATTTTTTTCCTACAATTATATACATATATTTTCTAGGCGAAATAATTAATTCCAACAGTCTGATTATTGCAATCTTCGAGTTTGTCCAAACTATCGTCGATCGTAAAAGGTTTATGAATCTGCTGGATAATATGCTACCAGAAATCATATATTATTTAATAGTATTTATGCAAATAACGGTCGATCAAATTCAGCAATGGACAACGAATCCGAATCAATTTGTCGAGGAAGACGAGTGCACCTTCGATTACAACGTCCGAATCTCGGCGCAAGAATTTTTAATGGTGAAATAATAAAAGGAATAATTGAAACGCGTCGCAATAAACATTTTCATGAAAATAATATTTTGTCATCTATATAGGTTCTTACCAGTAATTTTGAGGACAAAGCGGTGCATGCTCTTTGCGATGTAATTACGCGACATATTGAAGCAACAAAGGCGCTTCAAGTTAACGGCGATGGTAGCAACAGCAACGAAAGTTGGTGGAAATTACGAGAATCTTCTCTTTTGGCATTGAGTCTTTCTAAGAACATTGTTATTGAAAAACAGCAGGCTGGAGTATTGCAGTTCGATATTATTAGGTTTCTAGATACAGTTGTTTTGGGGATGTTAAATGATTCAGGTAATTAATCGGATACATATATGGTAACGATATCGTTTCTATTTTATGGATATGTTTAACAAATTGTTTCGTATATTATTTCAGAATCGCCTCCGTTACTTCTCGGCCGTTGTGTATGTCTCGGTGGACGATACGCTAAGATAATGCCACCAGAAGTGAGTTCCCGATTTCTAGAAGCGACAGTTAACGGTTTACAGGAGAATCAACCACCTTGTATACGCATCAGTGCCGTTAAGGCGATCTATTGGTTCAGCGAGGCATCCACTGGAAAGGATTCTATCATCAACATAATACGTTGTCACATGCCCAACATTTTTCAAGGATTGTTCAATCTAGTTAGTCAACCTAGCACAGACGTTTTGACCTTGGTCATGGAGACATTTCAAACGCTAATCTGGGTAATATTGACGCTCTCTTATCGCACATATTTTTATTGCAATGCATTTTTTTCTGTTATTTAATTTTATTTGGATCTTATTTGTGTTTATAGCAACATAAAGAATTTACAGCATCAGTGGAAAGCAAGATATGTCCTTTGACAATTGCAGTGTTTGTAAAGTTTCATAATGATCCGACGATCTTAGATATATGCCAGGATATATTTAAGGATTTGACGCAGAATCCAAGCTGCATCGAGCCGCTGCAAACTCGTATAATACCGACTCTAACGAGCATGATGGCGATAACTCCTATGAATAAATCGAAGGATGGTACGCTATTCTTTTTTTTCTTTTTCTTTTCTATGTCAAATTTAATCATCTTAGTCGGACCGTTATCAGTAGTAACCCCTTGTCCTTTTTATCAGAGGGATCTCGAGCTGTGGCGTTAGATGTGTTGAAAGTTCTGGTGCAGTATTCACCGACACCTTTAAGTAACGCTTTGGTGGAGACTGCTTTTCCGACTGCCTGTCACTGTATTCTTAATTCGGAAGACCACGCAACACTGCAGAACGGCGGGGAACTCATACGCACGTATTTATCGGTTGCAGCGCAACAGGTCATCGCACATCGAGATAACGAAGGACAAACCGGGTTACAATACATACTGCAGATAATCGCTCAACTCCTAAATCCGCAGGTGATATTACTGAAACCGCCGATTCGTTTAATTTAACGGAAAATTAAGTATTTTGGTTGGAAACTGATTATATGTGTATGTGTGGGTAATTTCAGTCGAGCGAATTCACTGCCACTTTTGTCGGACGTTTGGTCACGACGCTGATCAGAAACGTAGGGGACACTCTGGGTGAAAATCTCGACCTATTGCTGAAAGCAGTACTGAGCAAGATGCAGAGCGCGGAGACATTAATCGTGATGCAAAGCCTGCTAATGATCTACGCGCATCTTATAAATACGCAGTTTGACGCCGTGCTGAACTTTCTGTCGACCGTGCCTGGGCCCACGGGACAGAGCGCACTTGCGTTTGTATTATCTGAGTGGGTCAGCAGGCAGCACCTATTTCTCGGTAGATACGATCGCAAAGTTGGGACGATTGCATTGTGTAAGGTTCTAGAATACGGAGTCACTCACGGGGATAGTAGATTGGATGAGATCACAGTTAAGGGAGATATGATCATCTCAGGTTTGTCACGTTCTTAGACCGTTTTGATTAAAAGTTACGGTAATGAAACACGACGAAGTAAACTTTTTCGCTCGCGAATATAAAGTTATAAATAATTAATTTTATTATTATTCTAATGTTATGTATGAATAAATTCTACTAAAAAAATGTTACATACATTGATACTCTCACTGTGATGATTCGTTGCGCATAAGATTATTGCTACATTGCTCTACGAAAAACATTTGTGTGTTTCTCAAAATAGCAAGTTATAATTCGGGAATATATAGGAATCGAAGATGGTGTGAGGACCAGAAGCAAAGCTGAATCGCAGCCTTACGAATGGACTACGGTGCCTGTACTTGTAAAGATTTTTAAAGTAATAATCAACGAATTGTCGAACGATATCGAAGTCGTTAGCGCTAGCCAAGATACGGAAGTAAGTATCGGCCGCGCTTTCGCATTTTTACCTAAACTTTCATAATTTTTTACTTTATTTCATTAAAATAACATTTCAATTTTATTTAATCGAAAAACTCTGTCGTCAAATTTAGGTTTCTGACGACGAGGACGAAGAAGAAGAAGATGATGATGACTTGATAGATCCCGGAAATGAAAGTGCAAATATTTTACGTAAGTTTCATATAAACGACCTATATATATGTATATGAGTCGTGTAACGTTGCTAATAACAGAATGCTATTGAATGCGATTCTGTTATAGAATTTGGAGGTGCAGATGAAGATAATGATGACGAAGAGGACCCCGAGTTATTGCGGGACTCCATCTACCATTTGAACCTTGGCCAGTATCTGCGCGATTTCTTGTTAAACTTCTCCACTCATCATTGCTTCCGCATGTATATCCAACACCTGAATGTGCCAGAACTAAAAGTCTTGAATAACATAAATATCAATGCTCACATGTAATAGGAAAATTCAGATAATTGAAACAATTTTTGAATTTCATAATAAACGAACAGTCTTTTTTATACTCGATCGTTTTTACCTTTCATATTTTTCGATAGAATTTCATCTCGCTAATTGTTCTCTTGCATTTATCCTAGGTCACGACGCAAGTGTGTTAATTCGTTGCCGTGGCATATATTAATGCTATATTTTATTTGGGTCTTATTTACATTACACATGTTTAGAATCATTATGTCGCATCTACATACAAAAGACAGCATACGTATGCACGATCGCTTATGTGCTTAAAAATCCTAAATCATACAATATATTTTCTACAACGATATATTTTATATCTAATGTCGTTCCCAAAACATATCATACATCTTACGCGGTAAATTTTCGTCAGGAAGTATGCGATAATTGATCCATCGAGGCGTCACATTTGATTCACACTTTCTCCATATATGCGTGTACTTTAAAATATATAGAGTTACAGGGCAGTTATATATAGACATTGGCAGTACAGGATTCTAGTATTCGATTACTTTTTCTGGAAGAAAGGAACAAAAGGTAATAATCGACTCGATACATACACGAATCATATGCATGAGAATAAGACAATTTACACTTATACAGGATATCCCAGATTTCCTCAAGCATATCTTTTGCACATTTTCGCGTTTCTTCTATAAACGCTTTACAAAAACGGTGTAAAAATCACATACGATATAATTTGTAAACAGCAATGTTTTTGCACACGAAAAAGCAGCGATGCTTTCGTCATGAACAATATTGTTTTTTTTTCTTTTTAATTTAGAATACTGTTCGATGTCCACGAAAATAAATTCGCTATGGAATCGACGTTAAGGCGATGGTCCTCCGGATATACAGTGTCCTGCCGCGATCTCCGTCGTAATGCACAAAGCAAAATGGATATTGCTGCGTACCACGTTAATACTTATCGCTTATCATACATATCTACATACTTATAATCACCGATCTTTGCCCGTAGAATATTTTTCGTCCTGTATATAAAATCTATATATATGAATGTGTATCGTGCCGTAATTATTTACAAGATTTATTAGAGCGAACGTGCTGTGCAAACTTCACACACGTGTTTACATATAACAGCGACAATTCAAGCTTCTAGACGCTTTATTGCAGATTGGCGTGTCTTTTTATCATGGAATCACGAAATATTTGAACATTGTCCAATGTTATATTCGGCAAGAAGAAGACTAAAGACGGTCCATTTGTATTTTCGGTATCCTTGTGTAACCGTCTCAAAATTAAGTTATTCCGTACTCGGATACTTCGGATCAAACACCACGTGCACAAACTTGCCACATATAACGATAATTATTCTGCAATCATCAAATCAAGTTTATGCGCTTGTTCACGCATATGTGTATGTACATATACATATACATACGCACATATATCAAGCAAGCAGTTTCGTACGGACTATTCAGACGAACGCTAGATCTTTTATTAACTTTCGGAAGAATCCTTCCGACTTTACGACGTTGCCTTCGCGCGGGGCACATGTTTGCGGGCAAGAGGTTGGTATAAAAGATAATTTGAAAGTGTTACGCCGCGCAAAGGTTTCAGGCTTTCCCCGACGCAGTATAAAAGTCATTCGCGCGATAATCGTGGCCGTAAAATACCCTCGCGCTTATTTCGGGTTTCGATATCCGTGTAACGAACGGTCAGTTTGGCGAGCGTCAGGGATACGCAACGCGAGTTCGCTTACACCGTGGTAACCGACAGTAGACCCATTAATTTCCCCCCCGTGCCAGGTCCACCTGCACCCACCCTGTTTCCGTGAACCAACATTTCTTGCACAGTGGTGAAATCGTCCAGAGTCGTCTTTTTACGCGCCATCTTCTTGTGACTTAGCTCGACGATGTTTAACGGCTTCTTCGACACTTTGTCTTCCGTGTGCTCGCATATCAGCAGGTCGTTAGTCGGTTGCATCTGCTGCTGTTGCTGTTGCAGCAACAATTCCTGCTGACGTTGCTTGCGCTCGCGCGCGCGTTCCAGCTGTCGTTTACGCTCCTCTTTGCTCCAATAACGTCCGACCTCGAAAATAATAATATACAAATAAATGAATTAACTGGTCAACTTAGCGAAAGCAATCCAAAATCAGAACGGAAGTAATTTTTGATATACATGTACAATTATTATTCAGTTTTCAATTTTAATATCACGGTTAACGTTAATCGTATTCTTCAATTAATATTATACGATTTGTCTTTATCTCTCTCAAGCAAGATGCGATGATATCCCGTTAAAATTCAAAGAGATAAAAGTTGCTTTACTATCCTCTAAAATCTGGCTCGGGAAAAGACTCGATTCGTTCGTTATCAATTGGCACTCACCTTCATCTCCGACATAGTATCATCCTCGGTGGTGTGACCGGCTCTTTCTTCGGTTATCTTGATCGCCCGATTTCGAAGTATCCGATTTCTGACGGGCCGCCTGGCGATGTACCTCGTCCCGTCCGCCCTCCTCTTCACCTTCCATTCCATCTGCACCTCGTTCTTATCCTCCGGCGGTATCCACGTAGTGGACGTGCACACCTGTTGACTGCCAACGAACTGGTACTGCGTGAGATTTGGCGCCTGGAAGTTGCCGTGCGACTTGGATTTCCTCGCGCCGCCCATGGACGTCTCCCTGGACGTCGTGAGGTTCTTGCGGTTGAGCGCCTGCTTGAACAGCTGCTGCTGCAGCATCATTGTCTGTTGCAGGTTTGCCACGTTCGTGTACATAGTGTCAGCCGGCAGCGTGTTGGCATTTATTGACGAAGATTCGTTGCGATCTCTGTGATGATGCGACGACGAGCCCTTCCTCACGCTCTGGTTCTTCGACGATTGTCTTGCTATCGCGGACGTCGCGGTCGGCGTCACCGGCATGGGGCAATTGCAATTGAGCTTCTGCTGCTGCTGCTGTTGTTGCTGCTGTTGCTGTTGCGGCATTTTTGGCGGGCACAATACCAGCGTGCTCTTATGATGATCTCTCTCGCCCTGATGCAGCTCCAAAGTCAGGGGGTTGCTGTGACAGGACTCGCCGGTATTGTAAGCGCTCGAACTATCCTTTTCCTCGCCGGAACTGTTGCTTTTTGAGGAGGAATGCCACTTTTGGTTCTGCTGACCGCCAGCGGTCAAATGGTTTTGCGCGGTGCTATGCTGCGTCGTCGCGGTAACGATGTTCGCCTGCTGCGTCCAGTGCTGCTGGTGATGCTCGTACGGCGACGAATAGATTGGCTCGCTGTCCGATTCTGGTATCGTTTCGTAGATGTGCTCGGTATCACTCCACACGTGGCTCGAATAAGCCTCAATGAGCTTCACCGATGACGGTACCGCCGCGAGCGGGCCAGCTTGCTGACCGCGTAGAGATATACCTTCGAGCCTCTTTGAACAATCCTTCAGCGATTCCTGCATCCACTGCTTGTTGCGCTCTTCCGTATGATGCGCCGGCGAGGTCGCGTTCTTGCCGGATTTGTGTGAGTTCTGCGATGAGCATGTGGACGACGAGTTCGTGGAAAAGATATTGATAGATTGCTGCTGTTGTGGTGGTGGCGGCGGCGGCGGTTGCTGCTGTTGCTGTTGTTGCTGCTGTTGTTGTTGCTGCTGCTGCTGTTGCTGTGTGTGAGATGGTATGGGTGGAGCAGCTTTCAGGGTGCAGTTGTTTACCTCGCTCTCTTTGGTACGCTCCTCCGTTTGCTGTTGCTGTTGACGGATCAGCTGCTCGATCATGCTGTTCTGATACGCTGGCAGGTTCTCGGGCGAAAGCGGCGGCGAACCCTGAAGCGGAATCATGGTTCATGATAGATAGCGATATCTATACCGCGCGCAAACATCGAATGCTTTTTTTCCTCGCTTTATGTAATTCGACTTACCTCATGATAGATGCGCCTGTCATCATATTCATCGTCCTAAAATAGAAGGAGTAAATTGATTGATAACGTGTAACAAAGGTGTCTTAGATACTTTTTTATTTACATAAGAAAATTGTATTTATTTTTTATTTAAAGTTATCGTAATTATTCTATATTACAAATAAATCTTTTTCTCAAAAAGGTATCACGATTATGGAATGTTTTCTGATCTCCACTACATTTCCATTTTGTATTTTTCATTTAATAAACATATTTTTAAATTTACTTAGTTTCGCGTCAAGTTGAAACATTGTAATAATGAGGAAAACGAACTTGAAATACACATCGGCTGACGAGAATAGTCACCGCATTTTTCGTCTCCGCGAACAAGTTCTCGGTCTGCTCCTTGTTCGCGACATCCTTGCCGTTGACCTGAAACGAGAGAACGAAAAGGTCCCCTTTCAATGAACAATGCAGCCGCTTCTTGATTTCCGAAATGAGTCACTGTTCTCGCAAGAGAGATGTACATGCATAATGAAACGTCCGTGCTCCGAATGTAAATCCGGCTTAGAAACCCGTTGGAATCCCGAATTCGTGAGCTGACTCACATCAGTGCGAATTTCTCATTATCTAGAATTTACACTTGCAACAATAACATAGAGAATAAAAGTAAATCTCTTTATTTAAAAAGACAAAGACTTTGGTACAATTATAATTATAATTTATATATTTTAATGAAAAACTTGCGGAGGAAACTGTGTTTTCTTCAATTATTCAGGAATACCTATGTCTATAATTTCTTCGAGCAAACATTGCAAAAATTACATTTTACACTGGTAATACAGTCAGATAATAAATTCAAGAAAATAAATTTGTCCATCAGTATATATTAATCCGATGTAATTTGCGTTGACAAAGATACGATTCAATCAGTATATGATTTCTATTTATCTGAATTATACAAAGATGCGGCTTTCTTTCTCTTTCCAATGTTTCCTTGATCCATAGAAATCGCGTTATGTTAATATTGTAAGAAAACCATGTAGTCATATCTTTCAAATGTTTGAAGTCATTTTTAATATGATATTCTTTACATATTGTAGATAAATGTATTCGGTCCTTAATATTTTGTAATAGTCATTTTGTTGATAAATTAATATACAGCATTGAATCTCCATTAGAACCCATTGAAAAATCTTGAACATTGTTATAAATATCTTGGCCAACGATATGATCTTCGAACAGTGCTTATCCGAATTCAACATAAATTCACCGTTAGATGCTGCTGTATGCTTTCTATATACGTGCAACAGCCTGCAATATGTTTTTATCGTTGCCCTTCGGGATTATAAGGCGTTTCTTTGGGCTATTAAATCTATAATATCTTATAGTCTGTATACCTGTGTAACATAACATTTATTATACTACTAGCTGCTGGTTGATTAAGTTTCATTATTATATTATACCTTTTTGGCGGCTCCGATTCAGAGATAAAAGTATCGTACATTAAATATTATATTTTATGCGTTATAAAATATAACAGAATGTAAGAATTTTTTATTTTACTGATGAACCTAAATTCTTTTCTTTCGGTGAACGCTATTTAAAAACCAGCTGCGCATTTCTACGAACTTTAGGATACATTTATCGAGTTATTATAAAAATACATTTTTATCAGGAGAATGCGAAATATATCGAATTTTACAAATAAAATTTACCTTTATTTTCTGACGCAAGTGTAAATTCTATCATCAATAATTCCACAGCTCTCTACTTTTTCTTAGTCAATTATAATCCTTTGACGAATCATTGCGCAACCAATTATTGTTGCGATAGCGTTTTCGCGTTCGCGAGATGAAACACGTGATGATAACGAAAAATTTCTGATATTTACCCGCAAAATTTGATCTCCTTCTCGCAACCGGCCGTCCCGGGCCGCGAGACTTTCAGGAACTATTTCCGAGATATAAACCTCGGTGTCGACGTCCTCGCTGCCGGAACCGGAGCTATAGCACACCGTCAATCCGAGCTTTTCGGCACTCCCGCTTTTCCGCAACGTCACCTCCTACAGCATTTCGCAACCATTATTAATGTCCGCCGCAGTAGACAATGTTGAGTGAAACTAAATACACTCGTGTTTGCACAAGGCCCGCCTCGTTAACAACGTTAATACGCCGACGCGACATTATCGTCGCTCGACAAACACATATTACAGGAAAGTGAGATGCACTTTTGCATACAATTTGGCAGCTATATATTTTAATAAATACTATGTATTTTATATTTAATAAATACTATATATTTTAATAAATTACTAATTTACATATCTTTTCTTTAATCATTTTTATACATCTTTAACCTTCTGCACACATGCGTGTTCGTATCAATTATTATTTTAACAATAGATTATTCACCGTGAAGATAATAAACATAAAAAAGGATGAATTCAAGAGATAAATATTTTCGTCCAATTTTTGAAAAACCCTGGGGCGTATACTTGTCCCAATGGACGTAAAAAAGATATGCTCATACTTATTATACTTAATGTTGCGATCAATGCAGCAAGTAAATAAATTTCTCAATTATTGCTTCACATATTTTCATAGTTATCAGAAATTAAATTCGATGATCACATATATAATTACCTCAAAGTCGATGTCGTGAGTGAGAAAATCCTCGAAACTGTCGTTCGCTTGTTCCTCAACGACGAGGGGAACTGGAAGTAACTCCTCTTCCTCTATGAGACCAGCCCAGTCCGTTTGAACTGCAGTCGATACCAAGGGACACATATCGTCCTTCTTGACATCGTCATTGCACGTTCGGTCGTCTGTCACGCCCCTTTCGTTCGTCGTCCCCTCATTCTTATCCTGACACGTGATCCTTTCGTGCTCCTTCGAGGGCGTGTGAGGTACCTGTTGATGCCCACTGATGGGTTGTCGTCGAAGGACCTCGACGATAATTGGTTCCTGAGCTGACTGGAAACAACGCACAGCATCCTCGTGACTAGAATTTGAAACGTCCTGCCCGTTCACCTAGAAATAACAAGAAAGCAAATATCAATAAGTATATAAGATTGGACATTTTTAAGAGAATTGTATAATAATAAATAAGATAAACATGAAAAATATTAAATTTGGTAATATATTTAGGTGATATATTACATTTATCAGAATGTTAAACGGGCTACGAATAATATAAATATCTTTCTTCAGTTTCGTGTTTCGTCAAGATTTCTTGACGAACATCTGCCTTTTTCAGACTTATTCTTATTTCCTACATCGCGTTCTCGATGTGAGATTGATAGGCTTAGTAATCGATTGTAATTGGATAATAAATTAACAGTATTGCGTATAATATACCAGAGATATAACGCGGGTAATCATCAAATATCGAATAAATACTTATGACCACGTCTTTTCTATTGGCAGACGAGAAAATTAACAACGGGGATCCAATTTTTCTCTCCCCCTCCCTTTCTACCGTCTTTAATTAAAATATACGTCCCTCGAAGGGAACATAGAGACACCTCATCATTCCTCATAATTGCTTTCTCGCGCTTTAATGTCCAATTAAATAAATAACTCGGTGCGACGCCGTCAACGAGGGATGCTGACGAGACGATGGACAAGGGTAGATGAGGACGGTGGTGCTAGGGGTCGCAAAGACGTCGTTAATCATTAAAGATAGACGGATTAATTAAATGACACGCTTGATGATCCAAATTGATGCACATAGATCGGTAATTAATTTTCAAAAGTAACCCGCTAAAAAAGTCTTCCCTTATAATCTGATATATTGGTTTCCCTTCTTCAGTATCATATAATATCATTTCAATCTTTCAACAAATCAAACGCCTATAGAAGATGAGAAATTAGAGTATAGGTAAAGCTAATAAATTTAGTATTAATTTATTACTGGTCAGTATACTTTTGTTGAAACTTTTGCTGTTAAACAGCTAATTGTAAAAAAGCGCACGTATCGTTTAATGTTTCTTTAGCCCGTCCCTAGCGGCGCAGCTGCCAATTTATCAGATGTTAATTCCTCACAATTAAACATTTAATATCCTGCAGAAACTATCCTGCCATTGGCTATTGATTGTAGATTGATACGTATATCGCTTTGGTGTTTGCTAGGCGACGCCCTTGTGCGGCTCTAAATTGCTTCTCGACAGGAACGGCATCTAATTAAAGGATATAGACGTCCACGTGAAAAACGTGATTGTCCAACCGTCGCAGCGTCGGTTGAATGTCGGTGGATGTCGGTCAAGGAGAATGGAGAGCTTTTGTACGCTGCAAAAAAAAACTCGACAGATATAACCCTCTATTAACCCTAATTCCTCGTTCGGGCACGGTCATAACGTCCGATCAAACATTTGCCTTTACCAGAGGACCTCCGGTGGGCACCCGGTTTATACCCGGTACCCAGGTGGCACTTAATTTCCCACTAAGTACTAGGATTTAAGGATTTGGAATAGGGCGGGGACAATGGGGGGCGTAACGTAACGAGCCGTGGACCCTCGACGTTTCAATTTGGAACTTACAAACCGCCGGAGTGTATTTTCTACGCGGGATAATGATAGCCTGGCGGTTTTCTCTAATCGTGAAAAATCTTTTTGAGGGTTTCGCTAAAGATTTATGCTCTGTGGATCCTGGATAATCTATATAAATCATCGTGATTCGCGCGATAACATCTAAGAATCGCGCCAGCGAAAAAACTTTATAATGGTGGAACTTCTAGGTTTCCATGAAAGAACATTTAAATCACGTTGCATGCGAATGCTAAGACATTTAAATAAAATGTCATATAGTTGTCATATCATATTAATTATATTATTATATAATCTTATATATGTGTGTAATTTCGATTTGTGCATCTCATTCTAATCAGCAACTGCAATTTGTAGTTATGATAAGTTTCATTAAATTCTCTATTTAAATTAAATATTACTGCAATGTTAACATCATATTTATTATAATTTTGTCGTTTCTTGAACATTATCGCAAGCTTTTACTGCTGTGCATTCGTATTCGAATGGTAGTTTACTACATTTTTAAATCGTTAAGCTCGCTCAAGCGCGAATGTATTTATTTGCCGAGTATGGAACGCCGGATATTGAGTGGTCGTTATATTGACCGTCATAAAAATTTCGATATGCATCCATCAGACTAGTATCGATATCTCATATACCACTTGTCTGCGAAGTTTCGTTTGTGTCCACCACGCTCGGTTGCAAAATGGAATTTCTAACTGCTTGCTTGACTAGTTAACTTCCAACGGAGGCTCGAGAGATTCGCAAACATTTACATTTCACCAATATTGTCAAGTACTGATGAGTTCATTATCAAATCAAAACGGCAAGATCGAAAA